ATCCATACCTACTGCTGCTGCTCTCACCCAATCTTATCTGGGCTGTTGCAGCTACAATCCCTATTCTAGTCCATCTGCTACATAGCCACCCAAATTATTATCCCAAATCACCTAACTTTTAATGTTTTACATACAATGTTTTGTTGGGGAGCATTTATTGAAGGAAATTTAATCCAACGATTCCACAGAACCCTGAAAATGAGATCTGTTTCTCTGTAAGTTGGTTACTGCTGGCCACACTACACCTTGTGTTTGGAATGCCCACCGTGAGAAGGAAAGAAATTTTTTTAACTTTTTGGGTTGCATTTTAATAGTTAAATGGAAGTCTGATGCATCAGCTGCTGTCAGAGCTGATAGCATATTTCCAACTTGAAATGTGTGGACCAGAGATGTGTAATTGTTTATTGGGTCAATACGTTTCCATATGGGGTGCCGAATCATCACCACAGGTAACCCAGCACTGGGCTGAGTCCATGGGCACACAATGAAGAAATGTGGGCCTGAGCTTGACAACAGCTGTAGCTTGCTAAGTAAAGCAGTATCCATGTAAGTGCCAGGTTCACTCCTCAAAGCCCTAAGCAGATTCAGCCCCCAGGAGAACAGATTTATGGACTAGAAGCTATTACTTAATGTACAATTTTGTTTTTCCCTTCCAGTGTTCATGAGTGATCTTCATGCAGAGAAAGTGAATTTTTTTAAAGATTTATTTATTTATTTGCAAGTCAGAGTTACACAGAGAGAGAGAGAAAGAGAGAGAGAGGTCTTCCATCAATGGTTCACTCCCAATTGACCACAATGGCCGGAGCTGTGCGATCCAAAGCCAGGAGCCAGGAGCTTCTCCTGGGGCTCCCATGTGGGTGCCCGGGCCCAAGGACTTGGGCCATGTTCTACTGCTTTCCCAGGCCATAGCAGAGAGCTGGATCAGAAGTGGAGCAGCTGGGTCTTGAACTGGTGCCCATATGGGATACCTGTGCTTCAGGCCAGGGTGTTAGCCCACTGTGCCATAGTGCCGGCCCCTAGAAAGTGGATTTTTAAAAGGAAGTTGCTTCAAAACAAGTTTCAATGGATTTGTCAGAGAGGAGTTACCTTGTGTGTGTAATTTTGGTTTTGCACCATATTATGCAAACATTCCCCATGCAACTGAAGTTGTGTGTGTGTGTGTGTGTGTGTGTGTTTAAAAGAGATTCTCAGCATAGTCTGAAAAGTGTATCCACTTAAACACCTAATTTTAAGATCTAATTTTAAGAATTTAGGGGTCTGGCATAGTATAGGGGGTTAAGCTACTGCTTGCAATCCTGGTACCCCATATGGGAGTGCAGTCCAAGTTCTGGCTGCTCCACTTTTGCTCCAGCTCCCTGCTAATGTTCCTGGAAAAGTGGCAGAAAATGGATACAGTACTTGGGCCCTGGCCACCTGTGGGGGACCCAGATGGTGTTCTAGGATCCAAGGTCACCCTTGGCCACTTGCAGCCATTTGAGGAGTAAACCAGTGGGTGAAAGATTCTCTCTCTCTCTCTCTCTCTCTCTCTCTCCCCTTCTCTTTTCTGAAACCCTGCCTTTCAAATAAAAAAAAGCTATACATCTTAAAAAAGAAAGATGAGCAATGGAGTCTGATTTATAAAGAACCTTTAAAAGCAAATTTTCCCCTCTTTTTTGTGTGTGTATTATTCCTTTCAATGAAAACTTAGATTACTTTTTGACAAGAAAAAATTGAGCTTAAAAAAGCAGGGATTTTGAAATCTTTAAGTTTTCCAAAGAACTCGACATAAGACAAAGGAGGGTAATTCAAAAGAATTCCTGGAAAATAAAAGATGCCTTGATAAGTTTATTTTGATGCAAAAAATGTAAAAATCCATGCATAGTTCCTTTGTAATAAGCATTTTACTTTCATTAATTTTTGAAGATTCTTAGTCTCTTTTGCAGATATAACATATTTATAAATGGCACTGGCTTTTTTTTTGGTAAAGATTTATTTATTTATTTGAAAGGCAGAGTTATAGAGAGGCAGAAGCAGAGAGAGAGAGAGAGAGAGAGAGAGAGAGAGAGGTCTTCCATCCACTGGTTCACTTCCCCCAGATAGCCGCAACCGCCAGAGCTGGGTGGATCCAAAGCCAGGAGCCAGGAGCGTGTTCTGGGTCTCCCACACAGGTGCAGGGGCCCGAGGATTTAGGCCATCTTCTACTGTTTTCCCAGGCCACAGCAGAGAGCTGGATCAGAAGTGGAGCAGCTGGGACTAGAACCAGCGTCCATATGGGATGCCAGCACTGTAGGTGGTGGCTTTACCTGCTATGTCACAGCGCTGGCCCCAATCATTTGCTTCTATCTTTGTGAGGGTTCTGTTGGTTAGAAGAGACAGAAAATACAAATCCTACTGGCTTGAACAAGGGAAGATTCATGTCCTCACCTAACTGAAGTGTCTTGAGTGAACCAGCATTCGAGGTTCTTTCTCTCTTTCTGACTCCTATCTTGGGGCCAAGTAATCAGAAGGCTTCTACAGTTTCTGCACCTGCATCTTTCATGCTTCTAATTCAGTAGAAAAGAACAAGTAGCTTCCCCAAAATTCTGAGTACAGTTCTGAGTTTTGTTCCCATTCACTCCGTCTCTGAGGCAGGGAAAATGCAGTTTGCTGATTGGCTCAGGACAGATCCCTGCACTCTGTCCCTTTGTTTCTGTGCACAGCCCTGTGCAGCCCACAGGAGCGGAGGGCGGGGCTTCCAGGGCTGGCTCCATGCATCAAAGCCACCTGTCGCTGAAAGGAGGGAAATGGGTGCTTAAATAGCGCTTTTCACCAAATTCCACTTGGTGCTTTCTCTCCATTCACATGTCACCGCTTTCCTCCCTCCCTGCTCTCTCTCCTCTTCTCCGTTCTCCTCTCTGTCTCTGTTTCTCTTGTCTCCTCCTCATCCAAACCAGAGATGCTTTCTGAGGGTGGGAAGCACAGACACTACTCCTGCTCCTTCTCCACTTCTTAAAAATCACTTTCAGCTTCGCCTTAGCTATAGAGAGCCTCTCAGTTTGGGCTATTTGCCCTTAAAGATGGTCATAATATGCTGGAGGACTAAAACATAGAATAAAGTGGAGCTGTTTCTCTAGCTATCAATTTGACTTGAGGATTTACAAAATTATACTAGCATATCAAATATAGATACAATATGGAGTAGGATTGCAAATTTCACACGAATTCAGATAAACCACAAGGCTTCAAACAAATCATGTGCCTCCAGTTGCATGTTTAGTGCCATGTTCCCTGTTCCCTGAGTGTGCAAGTTTACTTGACTACAAGATCAAATCCCATTATTTGCTTTGACCCAGCAGCGTCTGTGATGGTACAGAACTCTCTGCTCGTGTGTCTCCTACCCCTGAACTTTCACTCATCCTGAGTGCTTCTTGTCTGTGCTTCCACGTTTACTCAGATGAAGCTCTCTGTCAAAGATGCCTTCCCTTGCTTCACTCCTCTACCAAGCCAACTCTCACTCATTCTTCAACACCCATCAGCTACCATTTCCTTATGAAGGCACATTGTCACCAAATAGCGTTTCCTTTGATTGTGATTTTTCCTGGCTCTTTGGCAATGAACTGTCTCTTGATTGTTTATTCCTAGGATATTGTATTTGTGACACAACTCATACCCAGAGTAAACATTATATTGTATTTAGATTTTGGGAGGGTGTCTGTCTAATCATCAAACTCTGGTCCCTGGTGTGTAACTCATGGCGATGATCTATAGCTATTGATTGAACAACCTGAAGACGAATATGCTTCATGCTTATTTATACTTGCAGTGCTCATTACAAGGAGACTTCAAAAATTCATAAAAATATGGATTTAAAGGTAAGTTAATTTTGTTGCAGAAATGGAAATTTGTGTATAATTTTTTCAAAATCTGCATTTCCATGAGCTCTTTGAAAATGTCTAGTGTGAACTTTTTAAGGGACCAACTTATTTTTCTTTTTCTTTATTATTTGAATACAATAAAATGTTATATTTCTGTTATTAGCATGAAATCCAAGAAGCAGGAAGTTTTTAAATGATTTTATTCTTTAAATGCTTAAAACCTTGAGGCATGCCCTTTTACCTCTCTTGTAATGATGGCAACTTGTTTCCTTTTCCTGCATCTTTTTTCTCTTAAGTTATATCCGGTGGGCACAGCAAGTTAAGCCAACGCCTGAGATACCAGCATCCCATACTGGTGCTGGTTGGAGTCCTGGCTGCTCCGCTTCTGATCCAGCTCCCTGCTAATGTATCTGGGAAAGCAGCAGAAGATGACCCAAGTCCTTGGGCCCCTGGCACCCATGTGGGAGACCCAGATGGAGTTCCAGGGTCCTAACTTCAACTTGGCCTATCCCTGGTTGTTGTAGGCATTTGAGGAGTGAATCAATAGATGGAAGATCTCTCTCTCTTTCTGTAACTCTGCCTTTCAAATAAATAAATAATTTTTTAAATCATAAAGCTATATCTAATATAAAATGTGACCCACGAATTTCTTCCACAGTCCTCTAGAAATCTTCTGAGATCCTGTAGTAACAGCTATGCGTGCTGGCCCTATACTTATGATGGTCAACATCTGACTCAATCTATGACAATCATATTTGAGCATAACTTTTATTTGTTGTGTGAGGTCATACCAGTAGCAAAGCACACACCTTAGTTTGGGCTGCCATAGGAGAATACCACAGACCCAGTGACTTAAACAGCAAATATTTACTTGCCCCAGACTGGAGACAGGGAAGTCCAGGATCAAGGTGCCGGCAGATTTGCTGTGTCTGGTGGAAGCAGACGTTGTGCCGCTGAACCCTCGTGTGGCGAGGAGAGAGAGACCAGCTCTCTACCTCATCATACAAAGGCACTGATCCCACTGTTAGGTCTGCACGCCTCTGCACCATCACACCAGAGATTAGGGCTCCAATGTGGGATGTGGGATGGAAAGGGACACAAGCATTCAGTCCACAGTAGCAGATGTTCTGTTTGGTTCTGATTCCATTTTATTTTCTTCCCTCCTAGGTCTGAGCTATGCTGTTCCTTTCTCGGAGCCCTGCGCTCAGCATAGGTGCACGTCCACCACGGCGGGATTCACCCTTTGTCCCTGCTTCCACCATTTCCTTCTACAGCAGCCAGAATCAGGCTGGGGCTCTAGGGGAGAAAACGCCTCTTTGAATGTGAGCAGGAAGCTGCGGCCTCTATAGAAAGGATGCTCCTTCAAGGGGAGATTTCTGTATTTCTTGGGCCTGTCCCATGCTCTTGGAACATTTGTGCCTTAAATGAAGTGAACCATATGAGATTATTTGTGTGTCTTCGAGTGTCATATTGAGGAGTGGGGGGATGGTAGGCTAACTTTCCTTCCATTGTTGGTAGTAGGTTCATGGCTTCCTTTGCTATCTGGAAGATTGTGGGTGTACTGTGATTTCACTTGATGTTAACCTGAGATGGTCAAACTGGAAAGCAACCGTTCATAGAGATCTGAGCGGTCTTTCCTGGGTCTCCAGGACATCACTCTTTCTTGGCCACTACTGGCCATACCTACAAAGTCTCCTCTGCTGGTTCCACCTTGGGGACCCAACCTGTAACTGCCAGCATGTTTGAGAGTTGAGATTCCAGTCCCTGAGGCTCTTCCCTACTGAATCTACATGATACTCCCTCTCTGGTCTCATCCTCTCCCCTGGCTTTGGTGTTACCTGTAAGCAGATATTCCCAAATGTCTATCTCTAGACTGATCCACTTTCTATACTCCAAATACCTGTCGGTTCTTGGAGTCCAATAAACATCTAAAATTTATCTGTGCACAACTGAACTCTGTTTTCCTCCCTAAGTGTGCATTCCCTACGGTTTTCCTCCTCTCAATCAATGACGACTTCACTCTTCCAGTTGTTCACACAAAATCTTTGCAGTCAGTCTGAAATCTTCTCCATCACAGTCAGCATCCAGTCCATCAGCAAATCCTTTCTGCCTTTACCTTCATTATCGGTTCAGGGTTTGACCACCCCTTCCTGTTCAACTTACACTTCAGGACAGACATGTCAGCACTTTCTTGGATTATTAGAAAAACAGTCCCCTAACTTGTCTGTACTCTTTTCTTCCTTGGTTTCTGTAGCATATTCTCCACAAAAGGGACTATCCCTTTAAAATAAATCACCTCCTGTCATTTCCCTGTGCATAACCCTTGAAAACATCCCATCCCACTTATGAAAATAAACTCCAACATCCTTCCATTGTAGCATGGCCCAGAAGGCCTGCTGTATTCCCACTTATTCAGCTCGGCCCCTCCTCCCTTAGCCCATTCCTGTCTGGCCTGAATTGCGGTGGGCAGCAGCAGTGTGCAAGATCTGAGCCATGCTTTCAAGCAACCACAACAAATTTTCATTAAAAAAAATAGAAATAATTTTAGATTAAAGGTGATATTTTAACATGTAATGCTAATATATTTGTATTTATATCAACACAGCCATAAAATACCATTGTGGTATTATTATTATCTTTTTAGTGAAGGAAGGGACTCACAAGGGCAAAGGCGTGGTGGTGCATGAAAATCCTAATGTGGCCCTGGAAAAGTCGAGGCTGAATCTGGGCTGAGCTGGGAAAGTCTTATTATTACATAAAGTTGGAAAAAGGAAGTAGTCTCTCCCTGCTTTTTGGCTTTACATCTCTCATATCCCATTCACCATTTTTTCAGCAACACCTGCTTTCCTTCCATGGACTCAGCACTCAGAACCTGGCTTCACACAAGCAATGACAACCTGTTGTCAACACATGGAAACCCATCCGGAGTTTCTTAACATGGTTACTCACACCTTTTTAAAAATATTTACTTGTTTTTATTTATTTGAAAGGCATAGAGACAGGACAGAGGAATCAAGAAATCTACCATCTGCTGACTCACTCCCCTAAATGCCAGCCAGGGAGCCTCCAACTCCATCCAGGCCTCCCATATGTATGACAGCAACTCAATCACTTAAGCTATCGCCTGTTGCCTCCCAAGGTGTGCATTAGCAAGAAACTAAAATTGGAAGTGGAGCTGGGATTCAAACCTAGGAACTCTGATATGGGATTTGAGCATCCCAAGCAGAATCTTTTCTGCTATGCCAAACACCCAACCTCATTCACACATTCTTTAAAGATCTCCATCCATTTCTTGATTGTGGTGAGACAAGACAAAAGAAATTACCATAAAGAACCTTAACAGGTATGATCATCAGACTTGGAGCTCAGCATAACTGATTGCATATTTTGCTCTCAAAAAAAAAATCCCTACTATTGTGTATGGTCAAATTTCCTGATTGAGAAAATAAACTTTGATCCAACAATCCCACTACTGGGTATGTGACAACACTATGCAAAAGAGACATCTACACTCCCACATTTATTGCAGCATTATTCACAACAGCTGAGATATGGAATCAACCAAAGTATCCATCAAACAGATGACTAGATAAGGGCTATGTGGTATATAGGCTCACATACACAATGGGGTACTATTCAGTCATAAGAAGAAGGAAATCTGTAGTTTGCCATAATACAGACAAACTTGGAGGGCATTATGTTAGGTGAGATGAGTCAGGCACAAAAAAACAAGTGCTGCACAACCTTACTCATATGTAGAATCTTAAAAAGGCATCATAGGAGTAGGAATAGGAATAGAATATTTACCAGAGGCTGGGGTGGTTGAGGCTGGGTGTTAGGAAGATGCTGGTCAAAGAATACAAAATTACAGCTAAATAGGAGAAATAAATTGTATGACACAACATTCTGTTAATGCCATATTACTGCTTAGAAAGTGGCTGTTGTGGGGCTGATGCTGTGGTGTAATGAGCAATCCATATGGGCACTGGTTCGAGTCCTGGCTGCTCCACTTCAATCCAATTCTCTGCTATGGCCTGGGAAAACTTGCTTCAGATTGGCTCAGCTCCAGCCATTGAGGCCATTTGGGGAATAAACCAGTAGATGAAAGAGCTTTCTTTCTGTCTCTCCCTCCCTCTGTAACTCTGCCTCTCAAATAAATGAATAAATCTTAAAAAAAAAAAAAAAAGCGAATGCTGTGTTCTCATCACAAAAATAGCTATGTGAGTTAATGAATATCTTGATTTATCCAGATTTACCCTTCCCCCCTATAATAATATCTATAACTATATATATATCATTACCCCACATCCCCACCCCTCTTAAAACTTCATATTGGACACGATAAATATATTATTTTATTAATCAATTTAAATAAATAAATTTGAACATGCTGTGGCGTAGTGGGAGCTGGCATCCCATATGAGTGCTGGTTTGAAACCTGGCTGCTCCACTTCTGATCCAGCTCTTTGCTATGGCTTGGGGAAACAGTAGAAGATGTCTCAAGTGCTAGGGCCCCTGTACCCATGTGGGAGACCCCAAAGAAACTACTCCTGGCCTTGGATTGGCCCGGCTTGACACATTGCAGTCATTTGGGGAATGAACCAGCATATGGAAGATCTCTGTCTCTCTCTGCCTCTGCCTCTCTGTAACTCAGAGAGAGAAAGAGAGAGAGAGAGAGAGAGGAAGGAAGGAAGGAAGGAAGGAAAAGAGGGAAGAAGGGAGGGAGGGAGGGAGGGAGTGAGGGAGGGAGGAAGGAAGGACGGAGGGAGGGAGGGAGGGAAGGAGGGAAGGAAGGAAGGAGGGAGGGAGGAAAGAGAGGGAGAGAGAGAGAGAGAGAGAGAGAGAGTAAGAACCTGGCATTATGGTGCAGAGGGTTAAAGCCCTAGTTCTAGTCCCAGCTGCTCCGCTTCTGATCCAGCTCCCTGCTTATGGCCTAGGAAAACAGTGGAAGATGGCCCAAGTTATTGGGCCCCTGCACCTACATGAAAGATCTGGAGGAAACTCCTGGCTCCTGGCTTCAGATCAGCCTAGCTCCAGCTGTTGCAGTCATCTGGGGAGTGAATCAGCAGATGAAGACCTCTCTCTCTCTATGCCTCTACCTCTCTCTCTGTAACTCTTTCAAATAAATAAAATAAATATTAAAAAAAGAAAGGAAAATAGATCTTATATTTTCAACTGTTAAATTTATATGTTTTTATTCTCTCCTTTTGTAAAGTGTTTCTATCTTCTTATGTTTCAATGAAGGTGAAAGATTCTTCTTTAATTGTCTCCTCTAATATTTATAGCTTCACAATACAGGTAAGCTATAGGTTATTGCTGACATAGCCTGGAAATTACCTATAAAACTAGTCCCCATTCTCTTCACAGGATATGAGTGAAATCGCTAAAAACACTCCCTGGCATTGTGGTGCGGGGTTCTAAGAGCATTTGAAAACAAGTTTTATGAAATCAGCTTTATTGGTAATATGCAATTTGAAAAATTACCCGTGGTGCATAGTCCCAAGTCAACTCTAATTTAACATCTTAACTTCCATTGTTATTTTTGTTAAAAATAAGCTCTGTGCTTATAACGCTTTGTACTATTGGTCTACAGTTGGTTCCTGACTTATCATGGCTGAATTTACAATTTTTTTACTTTACAGTGTTGCAAAAGTGATACCCATGGAGTAGATGCTATACTTGGAAATTTGAAAATTTTTTTTCATTTGATAATGATGCAATGCTGCTCCCTGGTGATGCAGGGCAGTTGGGAAGCAGCCCACAGTCCAGCGCTGCAAAGCAAGGATGTTTGGTAGGTAAGGTTGTATAAATCCTGTATGACTTATGATATTTTCAGCAGTGACATGTTTTTTCAAGGACGCAATCCCATGGTAAGTCAAGGAGCACCTGAACTTGCTTGCTTTTCCACTCACTGCAGTGTTTGGGAACGGATTACAGAAAGCTACTCAGAACCCCAGCCCTGAAAGTAATTAAAAACAGAACATCCATCCCTGAAGTGTATTCCTATCTGGATGCACATGAATGAAATATACAATTGGACTCTCAAAAATTCTTTTTATGTCCTTAATTTGATGAAGCAATTCATAAAGCAACACATTTATATTTCACAGCTCATTTACATGTTTCCATTTCTTGGCGCTCCTTTTTAGACTAAGCATTCTCCTTAGTAATATCAATCCAAGCTGTGAGACTTCAGACAAGTGGTTTCTCGGTCCTCACTGCACAATAGAATGATCTGGTGGACTTTAGCAAGGTCCCAATGACCCCATACTTCCCCAGAGTCTCGCCTTCCAAATTCTGAGTATGTACGCGCAGTGTGGTTATTTGGGTACCATGTCGTCCAAGCTGGTTGAAAAAGAAGAAGAAAGTCTTTTTTTCTTCTGCCTGGCTGTCTTGACTGCTGTAACATTATTCTTTACCCAAAAAGAAAAATGGGATCAAAGAA